TTATTGTGTGAAATTATAGTTGGAAATGATCTTTTGACCAAAGAGTAATGTTATTCATCCCCAATGAGGATGAAAACACTCTTTAACAAATCATAACATAAATTAATGTGTGTCAAAAGTCATTTAGGGCTTGTTTGGGCCAGATTAAAATCTGATTTTAATTTAAGTCAAACAATCAATATTAACAACATCTTTCATGGGTCTTACATCTTTTCAGCAATACATTTAAAAAGTTTCTATCACAATTCACTAAAAATCTAATTTTAATACCCACCAAACACCATTTTAGAGAATATCCAAGCAAACTCAAAAGCAACTTCTTAACCTCAAATTTGAATTTTGACTTTTCAAAATACACGCCATACACGTCCTAAGTATTCTTTTTGGTTGAATTATCGTTGATTTTCAAACATGATATGTCGCAATTTTTAACGGTCATGTAGGGTTGCAAATTTTATGTTTTGTAACATTAAAACTCAATTGAAGATAAATTAAAAGTGAGTTTACCCAATTGAAATTCACTCAAAATTCAAAATATTGAAAGTAACCCATTAATTTATAAAAACCAAAGTGCTCATTTGGTCATAAATCTCTAATTTTATAAGTTGTACGGCCTCCATCCCATAAAGATAAACCTTTTTTTTTTAAATTCATGTGTCTCAAATTATAGTACGCTTTCCTTATTGAGAGTATATCTTATTTATTAATTTTTTAATATAACCTTATTTAATATGTTTTGTTATCAACAAATATAAACTACCATTATTCAGTTGTAATTTAAATAATAAATAAAACACCAATATATGCACGTTCTATCTCAAGTCATATTTAGAGTGTGTTTGTGACACATTCTTTTGAAAGAATATATTATTGAATAGTAGATTAATGGAGAATGTATGGTTAAAAATGAAGGAAAAATTATTGATGTGATGAAAAATATTATTTTATTGAATTATGTGTGGTTGAAAATAAGTAGAAGAATGAGAATGAAAAAAATAATGTGTACCAAACAGAGCCTTAATATAGAATAAGAGAAAATGTATTTTTTTGGTTGATGTGATGGAGAATATGTGGTTGAAAAAGAAGGAAAAGTTATTGATGTGATGAAAAATATTATTTTATTGAAAAATGTGTGGTTGAAAATGAGTAGAAAAATGATAATGAAAAAAATAATATGTAATTAGCCCATGTTTGGTTGTGATCAAAATCAAAAATTTTAATCGATTTTAATAAAATTTGATGAAATGTGTAATTAAAAAAAATTGTTGGGTCCATGAAATATGTAGTTAAAGTTAATTATTGATTTTGAGTTAAATTAAAATCGAAATTTTAATCCCTACAAAAAATAAACATATTTGGAATATAAAAAAGCCCCATCATCATCTATTATCATTATTTTTTTAAAAATCATTGAGAATTTCGTTGCCTTTTAACAAAGAGCTGCCTTTTGTCTCATTCAAGACTTGGAGTCACAATGCTATTCTGTAGTTATTATCACCAGAAATTCTCAATCACCTCAACCATGCATGATTTTAATGTA